AATCATAAAACCACGCGAAAGGCTTTTGGGCATATGAAATTTACATATTCTCTTTTAAAAGTCCGCGTAATATGTTCCATGTTATTTACTGTTCACAGGAACTATTTTCCAAGTGAGCAAATAAGGCGAAAAAAATAAGAAACTTATGAGATTATCCTACAATCGCCAATAATTCTAAAGCATTGTGCTCTGAACAAAGTAAACATTTCTCAAATTGCATGCATGACAGAAAATCAATTTTTTTATAAAACATACTACGAAATCGCCGAAGAAAAGCCAATTTTGCGTCATTTCAACGATGACTATTTCATAATAAAATTTTCTCTTATCAAAACACAACCAATACATTTTGCGTTAGTCTCGAAATCAAGTCGTAACTTTGATCGCAACTTCTTGAAAGGCTTTTTGAAGACTACGCATAATATTCAACGGGTGACATTATTTATTCATAATTATAGATCGATCTTTATCATAGGATTCACATTCAAAGATCGCCGAAGCAAACATGATGCATTAGTTGACTTTCGAGAATTCTATGTTCCTATGGAAAGACGAAGTCAAATCAAGTAGCTATGTCACGCCTTTTTTTGACATATTTTTTAAGTTCTTCATCTGCAATTTTCTCGGCTATCCTTATCAAATCCTCGTGCCTTTCTTAGTTAATTCTTAATTTATCTACATCATGAAACAAACTGAATGAAGAGTCTTCATTCTACCTCGATACCATGTCTTGTTTTGTAATATGACTCTCGACACAGGCTAAAGCGAAACCATATTAATCATTTATCAGATCATAAGCAAAATAAATTGTTTCATTCGTGCTTTACAATGAATGTCATAGCTCTGGCAACCGAGATGCAATTTCTTGCAAATTACCACAAGAGATCCAACGCTATGCCGAATTCAGATCAGTGAGATTTATTGAGCTGCCGAACCAGAACATGCTTAAACGTCTATCACACTTGAACATTCCATGATTATGTAGGCGATAAGATTGCTCAAGAGAGAACGATTCGAGAACAAAACATATAGTTATTCAGTTAAAACGAGTAAGAATTTCTTTTTCTTATAAAGTTGTATATTTGACATACTTTTCCAACTTAAAAGGTGTAAATAGAATGGATACAGAAAGAGTAGAATTTATTTCGCACATCACAGTCAAATCGAAATCGAAAGCGGAAGGGGTTTGGGAATTTTAACGAAGCAGGCTTCGTGCACATTGAACGACGACACTATTACAGGCAACGTTGTTATGTTATTTCGGCTTAAAATAACCAGTAATTATTTCAAATACTGGCGGTCGTGGAGCAGAGATCTGACTCGAATTAGCTCTCGCTAGCTTTACACCGATGAATATTTCTCTGTCCTCATGCTTGAAATGAATTGTAAATTCAAGACCCAACGATCCAAATTAATAACAATTCAAGTCGTTCACAAACATAAAAGGTAACATTACATGTTAAGAGCTTCCTCTAATCTAAAATTAAACAAAATTTGCGACAAACCTGCGGTATTTTCCGCTCTCTGAGTACCTTGGTTGCTGATCACAAACATCAGTCCACTCATGAAGTCTAACTGAACAAGACGGTAATATTGTCGTGTAAGATGAACAAAGATTCCCTAGGAACTATCTCCCGTGACCTCCTTTCCATAGCACAGGTTTGAGTACGTGATTTTCGTAGAAATGAATATAGTACCTTACAATACGCTCACATGCACGATTTTAGGCTCATTTAGTTTAAGCAAGATCTTTTTTGAGCCGTAAAACAATAATTTGAAGGATTTTTGTGGGAGAAGACGCTCTGGTCTCAGTCAAGTTTCTGTTTTGTTTATTTTCTTCGTAAAAATTATCTTATTTTTCTCAGTTAAAGTAAACTCATTTTTAGAGGAAAGCTCAAGAAAAAACTCCTCTCACAGTTTGTGTCCCAGCCAAAGGATGACAGGGATAAACGGAAGAAAACTAACAACCGTAATGACGATGACATATTCATAGCCTCTCTATCTAAATGACTGGTGCTTTTAGGCGCTTAATGAAAACTGCGAAATGTGGAGACTAAAATCAAAATCGTTATTGACTGCTTTGCCATGGCGTGGTCAAAGTACGGAGGAATGAGCAAATACGAAAGAATTCAGTATAGAGCTTCCGGCAGACCTTAGAGAGAGGGGGTTTCCCATTTATGTAACTTTCTCCACCCCTAACCCCTTGGTGTTTGCAAGACAGGCTAATTTTAATAGTATTCCCAAGCGTAGATAGACATAGCATAGTCACGTGACGAGTATCAAATGTGACTAGAGTTGTTTCCCTCGCTGTTTGTTTTATTGCACTTCAATAGCAATCGATCTGCATTTGTCTAATTCCAATATCAGATGATGACTATCGCTTTGATCTTACTCAAAAAAAATTGAATGCCTGTGTTTTGCCAAATACGAAAGCGGCGTGCCGCAAGGAACAGGCCACATGCGAAAAAAAGTTCATTTGTATCAATGATTACATTTAAAAAGGAACCACTTGCCGTTTGCTGCTCGATGGAAAAGGCTGTGTATAATTCGAACAATTTTTGCTTAAAATGAAAAGTTAAAATGTTCTGCATTTTCATTGAGCTATCTTTTGTTGCGTGCAGTCCAATGCAGTCCTGGAAGGCAAAATTGGTCGAAATGCTATTGAAAAGGAAGCAAATTATTTGCTGCGCCTTTCAAACAGGATATAGTTTAAACTGGATCCAAATCCAAAAATAGATGTAAAAAGATGTGGTATGAATTAAGAGTACATCAAAATATAAGTTTTATCTTAGCAACATGTTTAGTTGACGAAATACTTCTCACGTTCAAAGACAACAATCACTTTTGTTTGGCGCTTTCGGATTGTGAATATCGTGAGCTTGTAGAGTTAAAAAAATATGTAATAGATAAATAAAATAAATAATGAAAAGGATAATAAAAGCGAGCAATGTAAAGTCTTAAGTCTTGTTACCTTTATTTTTACATAGTGCACAATATGAGGTAAAAAAAAAAATTTCGACACGATAACGTTAAAACGGCCGGGAGCGACAACAAAATAAAGGTAAGATACCAAACACGTTCTACTTCTTGCTTTTATCGTCCTATCATATTTTATTATCCATTATTGTTATTTTTTTTGAAGGCACACGCTGACGCTTAACTCAATATCAATTGATCAGGTAGTTCCGTTAACGACCTTTGAACCCCAAAATCACACACAGTAGGGTTAGTCCGCCTGTGGTTTGACTACCGTTTATTTCGACAACATTGGACCTTATGCGAAGATATAGTCGAGGCTCGACTCTGGTGAGTGCTTCCCATAAGATATTTTAAAACGTCAGTCACTAGAACCGATAACAGTCCTTTTGAGAACTTCTCTGATCCGCACTGTAAGACTAAATGATCAAACAAGCGACATCTGCGTTATCTGATCGCACGAGACGTCTCTCAACGATAAAAAAAAAGTCCCTTTAATTCGTGAAGACTAGCTGTGGATCAAGATATATTTTCACTGATATATAAGTGCAGTTTCCTAACGTTTCAATTCCGGCATTATAGTAAAAACCATGAACAAAACCATAATTGGTTTATCTTCTTTTCAAAGATTCAACAAGGATGTTAAAAATCTGTTTACAGAAACACAATTGAGACAAACAACAGCGGAAACGTCCTGACTTAAATATGACGGAAATATAACTTGACATTTCCGTTACGGAAACTTAACGGAAACTTGATAAAATCGCTACGATTTGGTATGACACGTTTCCACTAAACGTAAATGTAACGCAAACACGAAGCTCTATTTTTCCGCCACGTTTAAGAGATACGGAACCGTACGATTTCTTCCTGTGGTTTGAATAAAAAAAGCTACCAAATTGCAAGCCCAGTGGCACTCTGACACATCGAATTACGGTCAAGTCGCCGACGGTTCAACTCGCCGACGCCAACTCGACGAAGTATAAAATCGAGAAGAGACGTCGGCGAGTTGGTCTTCAATCCAGTACAACTTATTAGAAGGTAAACATACAGAAAAGTAAAAGATATTTTGTAAAAAAACAGTTTTGTTTTCTTCTAACAAAGTTTATAAGGATCTCATGGCGAATAAAGCAAGGTGAATATCGCCAATGACCAAAAAAGCTTTAGACGCGAACGAGTTATAACTCGTTCGCGTCTGAAGCTTTTATATTCATGGGCGATGTTTACCTTGCTTTATTCACCATGAATTTTGTCAGAAATAAAAAGAATTATTTTTTACTTAAGATCTTGTCTAGAAAGCCAAGTTTTTTAAAAAAAAATCTGATCGATTGACAATTGATGAGTCGTTACAGTGTTGTTGTCACACAATAATTATCTCGTTCGCGTCTAAAGAGTTTTCGGTCATTGGCGATGTTTACCTTGCTTTCTTCGCCTTGAGATTCTTATAAACTTTGTTGGAAATAAAAATAATTGTTTTTTTCTACTAAAGATCTTGTCTAGAAAGCCAAGTTTTCTTAAAATGTTTTTAAGCTTGACAGAAAATTAAGAATTGATTTTTTAGTCACATTCTTGGGACAAAGAAAAAATGTACACAAAACATGACAAATGTTGAAACTCTTCCAACCAGAAAGTTTGAATGTCAAAACTTAAACTTACAATAGCTAGTCTTGGCATGTGATTTTTAAATCAAAGGGTTTGGTGGGGACAGGAGGTGGGAGCCCCTGCAAAGGGATGGGAAAAGGGAGGGTAGGAAAGAGAAATCCTGAGGTTGAGGGAACCTTGAAAAATTGAGAAACATTTTGGGGCAAAGAGAATGGAACCACTGCAGGAAAGGGATGGGAAGTGAGAGTCAAAGGTACTTGAAGTGGGAGATTCATACCCCTTGCCCTTCTCCCTCTATAATTTACGTCGGGTGATCCCTGATTGAAGTCAACACATCATAACATTTAAATTAAAAAATCAGTTTTATGTTTGTATTGCAATCTGTAATAAAGAATCAACAAGAATTTTACAGATGTTTCAAGAGGCATATAATAGAGCTCCTTTAATCCTTTAACTCACATGAGTGACCAAAGACAGAATTCTCCTTACAATATCAATAAAATATCAACCAAAGAAGTGATGAGAACAAAGAAAAATATCAATTTGGGGACAATTAGTTGATCCAATACTAAATTCTCTGAACTAACATTATAAGAATTGTAGGGTTGACAGTAAGGAGAGTTACAAATTTGATCTGGGAGTTAAAGGGTTAAGCACAGAAAAGGGGAGGGGAAGCCTCCAACACATCTTTGGATTTGTGGTAGGTTGGGTTTGGCACAGTCCCAGCGACAAGTGGCATTGGAGTTTAACAACCCAGAGGTAAATCAAACTAATTAGATTTTAACGATGGTAGGAATAACAAGGACTTGAGCAATTCATTGAGGCTGGAGGACAAATGCAACATAGAAAAATATATTTGTCTGAGCTGTTGTGACTCAGAAACAAAGGACGAATCAAAAACCTATAAGGTATAGTCAATAACAGAAACTGATGTATCTTCATCATGTTTGTCATTTTTGGACATAAATCACTGCCCCTCCCCTTTTCAGATTATTGATGAACTTTATGGCATCAGAAGAATTATAATGATGGCCCAATTTCTAGCAATGGAACTCCATCTGTGGAGGTGCCACAGACAGAAATGGCCGTGACCACAGAGGCTCAACAACAGCTGAGAACCATAAATCCTCTATGAGATTCAGAAGTCTATGGTGTTGACATTTATGCAGAAGTGTTGCAGATTCTGAGTTAATCATTAATTGATCAACACTGCTTCTGGAGCTTATGAAAGTAAAAGTGGTCTAAAACATTCATTTGGCTGTAACAGTGCCTAGGCCTGGCCTATATGTAAATGAGACTTTGCTTGTTTTACTCTTATTAATAAACAAAGAGAATAGTTATTCAGTAAAATCAACATGAGTACATAACATTCATCGATGGCTGCTGATTGACTGTTTGTATGTATATTAGCAATATAAAATTATTTGGAACTTTGAAAACACTTGCAAAAAAAACAACTGTTCAAAAGAACAATAAATCAGCAGGAATTTGTGAATACATGCGATAATATGAGGGGTAAATGTGAACTAGAATTAATTTCAACATTTAGCATGAAACAAAATCACTTAAGCCAAAAAAGTAACATACAAATTTCCACAAAAATAAGAAAAAAAACAATGAATTCAGATTGGACAATGTAAGCTACAGTGAACTCATTACAACTCCATAGCGGGTTAAATGTGTACCTCAAAAATTGAGGTTGTTAAGGATTCATATATTCAGGCTATTGTTTTTCTCATTACTTATTCATTCCGATGAGTTTGCCGACATGCCGGCATGCTTCCGAAGATCGTGAAGAGCGCAACTTCTCTGATGTAGGTGAGATATTTTTCTTTTGTTAACAGATGAAATAAACTATCCCGGGAATCTGCTTGATTGATGTCTAATAATTGCTACGCATTCCGGTGTGTTGGGCAACATGTCAAAGACATCAACCTCGGATCAAACCCAAGCACTTATCAGCTTACATGTCTTTTCAAGTAGAAGTAAACATTGCATGCACGGTCAGATCACAACAAGTTCATTCGAACAAGACGAAAGTTGTGAAAGAAAGAACCGCCAGCGCGCGAACACGAGCACTATTTATGACACGCAATATTTACATAATAAAGAAGTAGTTTAATTCAAGTGCACTCATTCGGATCAAAACAAAACGATCGGCGCTCGAAATGATAAACTATTTTCGCTTTTGCTCTTCGCAGTGATTACAACAACTCGTCCAAGATCCATTTTTAAATCTTTTGCGACGCTCTTTAATCCTAAAAACATATTAAGGCTAAAAATACACCGTGAATAGAAAATAAATCCATTCAAATGATTGCAGTTTATCGATCTCGAATTCACTCATCTCAAGACAATGTAAACAAAAGGATACAAGATCACAAGTCTGTTCGCGCAAGGTAGCTTAATTACACTATTGTCCAAGTCTTTTGAAGTACCTTCCGCAGTTCCTTTGGTCTTCTTCCAAAATATCTCACCTTTTTCGAAACGAATAAAACTGAAATCACTCGACACGTTTTCGGCAGCCACCGAAAGCAATGCCCAAAGGAATAAACCGAGCCTTCGATGTAAAAAATCCAGCGGTGTCACCCATTTCAGTAAGTCACAATTAATCCGGGCTGGAGTTGTAGTGAGTAAAAACCAATCAAGGAAAACGTGTCAGTTAAATGTGTACTATTAAAATCAACTGAGTATTCACATGGAATTGACTGAAATATAAAATCTAAACCAAAAAAAAACATTTATTAAAGAACAGTCCTTCAGAAACTACTGAAGATGTATCTAGATCTTTCCAAACTCCACTTTACTGTGCGAAATTGAAAGATCCATATATTTCACAAATTTTTCAAACTTGATGTGGTATCTTGGTATCTTCAACACCTTAAAAGAGGTTTCTGCTTCTGCCAGGACTTTGTTTGGTGTCTTTGCAAGAAAGGCAACTGTCAACTTTTCTTCAGTGATTGGAAGGGAGGGCCAACCACTCCAGAATTGCAAGAGCCCCATAGTGTTTCTTATCTCTTGAGCCATCTTACCTAAAAAAATAAGAAAAAAAGACATAAAAATTTACACTTTCTCATTAATTGGAAGTTTTGTAGCTCAGGCCGTGAGAATGTATTCAGGATGTAACAATTTTCTGAGATTTTCCAGAATCTTTATGGTATCCACACATTTTGTTTTATATTACATATAACATATCAGTGGGTGAGGACACAGTTGGGACTCTTGCCACAGTCTGATCATGACTTACTCAAAGCCAGAAATGCAGAAACACTGTTTTGCACATGGGCACACAAAAAATACCCAAATCTAAAAAATATGGCTCCAGTGATGGTTAGTTTTACAATACTGATGGTAAAACAAGTTACATTGTGTAAGTTACAGTGCCCCTAAGAAGAGACTGATTTCTAAAAATAGGGGTCACCAATTGTTCAGCTGAAGAGCTGAATCTTGACAAAAATAATTCAATTGCTACAAGGTAAGTATATGTGAAGATGATTTCTTTGGTACCCCTGACACTGCATCATGAATTTGCATGTGCAACAAGGATGTGTATGAACAATTAGCATGAACCTCAAAATACATTCATTCAAGATTTCTGTACCTCTAGTATTCAGCTCATTTAAGTACTTTTCAAAGTACTCTGCAGCTTTTTCTGTGCAGCCATATGTTTGATTATAGTTGCTGTACTTGTGGATGTTGCTGAACAAGGTCAATCCCAGGTAAGGCCATCACTACTTCAGTTTAAAAAAGATTTAAAAAGAGAAAAAAAAAGATACAGTCGTTGGTTACCAGAAAAATGACCAAACTTGGGTTTGGGCCTTAACAGTAATTATTCACAACTGTTATGATAAGCCTAACAAACCTGGTTACAGATTGTATGCAGTATTATCTCTACAATAAGAGTTGTGTAGTAAAAAATAATATAAATTTGCAATCTGGAAGTCAATTCCATGGCTACAATTATTAACTTGACAATTTATTTACCTATAACCCACACACAATAACCTGCTGAATCTTACTTGGCTGAGCAGTGAAGTTCTTATATTTTTGGGTTTGAAAATGACAATTTTCCATGGGCAGGTCATTTAAAAGAATGCACAATCATCTTGCCAACAAGGACAAAGAAGGACCTGGATACCAGGTTGTAGTCACAGGATGGTACAAGGTGACCAGCCTCTCCTTCAAACAATTTAATGCCACTGAACTGCCTTCTCAATAACTCCTGCATCAAGTAATAGAATGCTCTGCTTGGACTGGCACCAGCATCTACCCCTAATTCTACTGTACCAGAGCTTTGAAATTGGATGTTTAAGGGACTTTGTAGGTTAAATCTTGGATTTTTATACTTCCTCAACACCTGAGTTATGATGCTTTTGTCCCTAATTATGACTAGATGTTCTTCAGGTAAATGGGACTGCACAGGGCAGGTAACAAACTGCATCAAAGCTTCCTTCTGATCCAATTTCCTCATTCCCCAGGCTGAAGAGGCTGTAGTTCAATCTGCACTGTCTTCATCTTAATCTTCTTTAATTCAATTTAAAGAAAGAAAGAAAGAGAATTATAACAATCTTTCAGGGATCCACATTGCTGGTCATCAGGTAATCCAAGACAACCACAACATCATTCAGACAAGTATGACAACACATTGTCCAACAAAATTTGAATTTTTTTACAAAATATTGTTGTATGTGACAGATGCGTGAAACATGAACTTTTTAGATACTTTTTCTCATTTGGGAGTTCCTACAAGTTGTAAAATGTGGCACTATTTTGACAAGGTGTTGCAACCAGAGAAAAAATGAAAGAAAATTTAAAGAAGATAAAACAAAAACAGATAGATATGTTCCTGAGCAAGTATTCATAATAATATTAACCAGGAGCAGCTTTTCTCGTTAATGAAGCAGTAGAAACCGACAAAGAGGTTATTGCAAATTTGTTCTGCAAATTCTTCACTGATGTTGCGCGATCTCTAAAAAGAAAGATCTTCCCTCTTTGCAATTTTGTCTGGAAAAGGCCCCTTACAATAGACACCCAGCAGCCGCTAGAGAACTTTGAGTTTAGATCAGTCTCGGAAAAGGTTGTCTTTAATGCATTAAAGAGCCTTAAGAGAAATAAGTCCTCTGGCCTTGACAACTTTCCTTCTGGAATGTTAAAGGACTCTGCTGATATAATAGCCAAGCCACTCACGCATATAATTAACCTGTCTCTCGCAACTGGGTCTGTACCTACTGACTGGAAAGCGGCTAAAATTGTACCACTTTTTAAATCTGGTTCAATGGCCGAAATCGACAATTATAGGCCTATTTCAATACTTCCTTCAATGTCAAAGATCCTGGAGAAAGTGGTATTTAAGCAGCTGATGGCTCATTTTGAACAGAATGGTCTACTTTCTCATTTTCAGTACGGCTTCCGTCGCATGCGCTCTACTGAACTGGCCGTTACTCATCTTACCGATGTTATCAGAAGAGAAGGTGAGAATGGTAACCTGACAGGCTGTGTTTTCATCGATCTATCCAAGGCGTTTGACACTATCAGTCACTCTGGCCTCCTGAGCAAGCTTTCAACTTACGGAGTTCGTGGAACAGAACTCGCATGGTTCACTGATTACCTTTTCTGCAGATCACAAGTTGTCCAATATAAAGGCGTGCTATCAGAACCTCAACCCATTCTCACAGGTGTTCCTCAGGGAAGTATCCTGGGTCCTATCTTATTCATTATCTTTTTCAACGATGTACATAAACCGCTTCAACACTCGAAGATTATCACTTATGCCGACGATTCAGTCATCTATACCTCTTCTAAAGATATTGATACTATACAGAGAAGCCTTAGCGAGGATATGAATAACCTGTGCGAGTGGTTTAAAGACAACGAACTGATCATTAACCTAAAAAAGGACAAGACGGAGTCTATGTTATTTGGAACAGCTAAAAGAATCAACCTTCAAGACAAGGAACTTAAACTTTCTGCTAATGGGTCACTCATCAATAATACCTCTACCTATAAGTACTTAGGTGTTCACCTTGACTCATCACTAAACCTCGCATCACATTTTGACCGAATCTATAAAAAAGCTGCAACCAGAATCAATCTCTTGCGATCAATTCGTCCTTTGATCGACCAAAAGTGTGCAGAATCGATCTATAACACTATGATCGCACCTATCTTTACCTATTGCGGAACACTTGGTCTTAGCTTTCCGGATTACCGAAAGGAAATGATAAAGAACATCGAACGACGAGGCTTTAAAGTTATCGGCAATAGTTCTTTTAATCCCCCATCCGTGAACAATTTGATCAAGCGTAAAAGCTGTCTGTTTGTTTTCGACTGTCTCCTGAATAATGTTTGCACACCCTTTAAGAACTACTTCGAAAGGCTGGTTCATTCTAAGGCCACTAGGAATAACGGTATATCAGTGAAATTACCCAAAGTTCGTTTAGAATTTGGTAAAAAGAGCTTCTATTACCAAGGAGCAAAGACTTTCAACAACCTGCCTGCTGAACTAAGGTCGTTAGATTCGAGACTGAAATTTAAGAACAAATTGCGAGATTATTTTAGTTAAATTCTATCTAAACGTGGTTATAGGTATCCTTTTCAGAGCATTTTTATTTAATTTTTAATTTTTTTTTTCATTTTATTGTATGCTTTTCTAGACCTTAAGATCAATGATTATATCTTGTTAAATTTTATTTTATTTATTTATTTATTATTTTTGACAGGACCCCAAGGACAACAGTGTTACACACTGATGGGTTTTTCAATCCTGTATAAAAATTCGTTATTATTATTATTATTATTATTGATTATTGTGAACTCCATTGTAAAAAAAGTGCTTCTGGACCAAACAAAATGAATCAATAATACTAAAAAGCAAGCTTTCCATTTATTGGTCATTGCTTTTCTTTAGTCTATAATGCAATACTATGGGCAGTTTGCAAGCAAGTAAAATTTAGGCAGGGCAAGTATATTTTTCAACATTCTAAAGCACAGCTGATGATTTTGAAAAAATACTAATACTGGATCCCTGATCTTTACTTCAGGACTGTGATTTCCTTAACTTAAATGTTTAATGTTAAATGTACAACTTTGGGCCTACCTAATTGTATTCAAGGAACTGTATTAGATAATATTAAAAAATAATAATACTTTAGTAAGGAAATGAAATGGATAAACGTTAATATATCTCCCAGAAAATTTCAGTCATTGTTCTGACTTTCATCATTAACAAAGGAAAAATAGAAACCATACAGTAACAAATAGTTCAATTTATCACAGAAAGCCTTGAAAACAAATAGTTCAATAACATCTTATCTGAGTAGGAAAATAGGCTGAAATATCTGAGTTAAATTGTGTTATTAACTCATATCTGCAGTTTGTAATTTACAAGCTTTCAAGTATTCTCCCAACATTCCCTATTATGTATGTTCAAGTGCATTTGAGCAAACATACAAGTTCCTGTATAAACCTAAGTCAACATTCATTTTCATCATTCACTTTGTTTTAGTCTAACTTTTCTTATGCACCACTCCATTCAATAGATAATCAATTACACAAGAAAGATCCTGACTCCCCTGCAGAAGTGCATGTTGAATTTTTTCTGAAGTCGACTCTCCAGGAAAAATTTCCATCAACTCAGACTCTCCAAACTTTCTCTATCTTAAAATGAAAAAAGTACCCAAATTCTGGTAAGTTAAGTTTGCTGCATTGAAAGTGGTTGCTGGATAACAAAAATATCCACTACAGATCAATTTATGTTCTAAAACTGTCTTATTCCTTTTAAATACTAACCTGTCACTTTGTGAAATTGTGTTCAGTATATCATATTCCTCATTCAGTTTACCACCATCAGAAGACATACCCTAGCATTTGAAACATTTAACAGTGTGAATTCTGATCTACAGCAACATGTATACTGTTAGAGTTAATATTATTTTACATCAAAAGTTAGGGTGCTAATTTCAATTTACATTTTAAACTTGTTGTATGGTATTGGAAAGCAGTGTTATCAGTTGAACCTGTGATATATGTGAAGGTGTGTCAGGGAAAAGTTAAAACTTAAATACATTTTGGTTGAGTGAAAAATTGTTACTAACCACCAATCCCACAGAGTTTTCAGTTGCTGCCAATGTTTCAGATTCCCTTCACACACAAAAGGAAACAGTGTAACCATTCCATATTAATGAAAACATAGGTTTTTACCATATTAACTTTTTTGGCATTTTGGCATTTAACACTATAAAAATATAATTAACATTATATTTTTTATTGCCCAAGTTGTGGTTTAATGTTTCACTCAGTTCAAATTTTGTTTTACTTTGTTTTAAACTTGTTGTCATACATTACCATACCAAAAACAAAGGAAAATAAAATTTGAACCAAAGAAAAATGCAAATGGTTTCACACAATCATAGGAGTGCACAATACAAATACATGCAGCATGAAATACTTATTTAAAGATAGAAATTGTAACTTGACAGTTACTAGATTTTCACACACAAAGCATATCAGACTGTACCCTGAGTCTAGTCTAAATTAATTTCCACTGCCACTAACAGAACAGTCTGCTGATTGCATTCTGTGTGAAACTCAAGTAACTGTCAACTTACAATTTCTATCTTTAGATTAGTATATAAAGCTGTAAACAGTACAATGACATGTAAGAATGCAAGTACAACTTACTGCGTTCTGACATTGCACTGGGCCTGGTGCTGTCTAAAGGTAGTCAAAGCTACATCTTCTCCACACTCCAGACACTTGACACTTGACACATTATCACTTTCAACCTTCCAACAAAAACACTTGTTATCAAACTAGTAACTTCAGATAACTTAAAAAAATAGCTTAGAGGTAGCTGTAGTGTCAGACATGAATTATTAATTAGGTAGTTTTAATTTCATTTAATACTAACTCAAACACCACAAAACACCTAGAGCCTGTAGGATCAGGTAATTTTACTTTCCCGGAGGAAGCCCCCTTCCCCCCTTTGAAACTAATTCAACTAATTCAGGGGGTGGAGTTTAAATTAAACTGGAATTGTATTCACTTACCTGTTAAGTACTTAGATTCTCTAACATGTTTAAATCCTTTTGGAGTGGCCTGATGTAGGCCAGTGCTTGGCCAAGTCCGGCAGCGTCGCACAGGAATGCTACTGAATATCCCCCATGTGGATGGGGTGATTAACGAAAACATTGAGCTAGGTGACCCACTTCTCAGCAATTTAAACCCACCAACGGTTTTCAATTTTGGCTACACGCTTTCCAATCTGGTTTTACATCAAGTGCAGTTCCCTTAAACGAAAAAGACCACTTTCTGGTGTCCGAGTCCAGCACTCTGCAAGGCAATTTTTTTGCGCACGTGAAGGGACAGAAGTATAGCTTGTGTAAACCCAAGGCAGAAAAAGCTATGAATCCTAGTCTCTTTGCCCTGATAGGTCCGCGGTTTTTTGGCCGCTGGAGGTCTTGCAGAGGCAGAAGAGGAAAAGGTGGGTGGCGTTTCCCTGATGTTGTTGCACAGTAGACAATGCCCGAGCCTATCATTCGCTTAACGTGAAAGCTGTTTCGTCTGCATTTTTCCTGACCGCTGTTATGTGCCTTAATGAGATCTTCAACTTGTTGCAGCAGAGAGATGCACCTCGCGGGGAGATCGTCGACTTCTCCTCGAATGGCAGCTATTTTCAAAGCGGAATTAGTTTTCTTTGAGCGGGGACGATCCATTAATACTCATAAATTATGATGTTCGACTGGGTCTTTCCCAGGTTGCACTCGGTACGTCGATCAACAGATCAGAAATTGAAACAGTCAGAACAGCGTCAATTGCTATTCTGTTGCTCCAATTTCTTTTGCGTTGTGTTTGTGATGTCTCAAATTTCGTTCTGCTTATGTAATTTCAATTCTGTCTTCCTAAATTATATTCCGTTTGTTCAATCTCTGTTCGAGTGTTTTCAGAAAAGTACTCATAAACTACACAGGTTCTACATAACAGAATTTGAAACAGGATTTTGGCGGCGATGACCCACCATATGATTTCAGACCGAACTGGACCCTACACGCTCCTGTTACCAATATTGATGGTATGGGGAAATTCTGATAAAAACAATTTTTGGGAAGGGTCTCGGAATTCCCTTCTCAACCAGAGGATTTTTAAATTTGAGATGCAGCCCTGCTGCTGAATCACGCAATCTTAAATGAAATGGACGCAAAACGTTCCTCGAAACGTTGCCTTCAACGTCAGAATTGGCATCCTCGGGCTTTACGCACATTTTTAGCAATATCTTTTTTTGCCCTCCAATTTCTTTCTTTTCTTTTTGGAACTCCTGCAATTGAAAGGGGATAATTTTAACACCAAAAACATACAATTTAGACTTAGACTTAGACTTAGAATTTAGAATTTCAAGAGCAAAGACTATCGTACCTGTTTTCCTCGTCCATTGATTTTAGAACAATTATCACGTAAAGCTCTTCATCCACGAAAACGAGTGATGATATTGCTTTTCTTTTCTTTTTCGCCATCACTTAACTGAATTCTCACGCATGTCATTTGTAATCCTTCCGTACTGAAATTTGAGAAATCTTTGCTCATTTTCACCACCACGGCGCGTGCGTGTCCATCTTTCATACCTAGATCGACATCCCACTTAACTTCGTTCATGCGCCTAAATTTCGGCTCCAGATGAACGGAAATGGCTTCAGTAAGTTTATATCAGCCCGGCTGTTCTTCACATCTAGGTTAGCCGATCAAAACAGTCGTGGGCTGGTTTTGATGTATCTGACGAACTTCGTAAAATAAACGCATTCAGTTATGTTGGAATGGTCGCCGGTTAAACTCTAATTTACCGCATTTTTTTTTTCGGTGCTGCTTCTTCACAAGGCCCTCGAGGCCTTCTGCGTTCTTAGAAGAACACGAATATTTGAATTTGAGTCCCAACACTTTTTCCTTCTAATATCTCCACTGACAAACCGCTGAATAAAATAATCAGATAGTACTACTGAAGAGGACATCCGTGCAAAAATCAAACAAAAATTAAATTTTTATGGCAAGGGTCAAAAATTCAAATTGTGTCAATTTTTGCACAGAAGTAGACCCTGGTAAGACAAGAAAGGCCGTATACTTTTTTTTTTCTCAAATATGTTTTCATTTTCGAGAAAAACGAACTTTTCGCATTCACCCTCTAGAATCGATCAATCGGGTCATAACAAGTCAAAAATTGAACACTTTCGCTCGCTTTGCATTTCAAAGATATTTCATCAAAGGAAATCTAACCAACGGGTACTCTTTCATATACTCTTGGTCTTCTGTAAAATGTAAGTTGTGTAGTAATTGGTTGCTTAGAAGCTTTTGGCCATGCGAAAAAGCAATGTGCTCTCTTCCGTTTCAAAAAAAATGTCGGTGAAGAAAACCTCTTTTTTCACCATGTGCCATCATTCAGAATTCCATCAAATTACGTATGTAAATTGCCGAAGGAATGATATTCAAAAAGTTTTATTAATTAATCCCTCAAAATTTCTTTGAATCTGATTGCTGGATTAACTACCGTATTTTTTACCCATTTTTGCAATGACTCCGATTTTATTGTCAGGTAAGTGACTAAATTGGACAAGAAATCAAATTGAATACCCAACCTTTACAGAGTAACACTGATGGCAGACATTCTACTCTCCATAGATTTCTAAGTGAATGTGGATGTTAAAAGGATACCGTGAGAAAAAAAAATTAGAAATATATTCTGCATCCTCTTCTATCACAGAAAATCTCTCCTTGTATACAAACTGTCCTACTGAAATCGTGAAAGTCGTGATCACGGGCGTCCGCGTTAGTTAACTTTGACTTCTGTAAAACTCACGAAAATGAAGAGATCCGATCAATCGAATTGTGGTTTTGGAATAAGTAACAGAATGTCTCACAACGATAAACAGTCAACTTCTTCCTCTTCAGAATTTAAATATGTCTTAACGCTTAAAATAAGAGAAGAAATCCTTAGCAATGGTTTCGGTCGTAAGCGATCAAACTGAGCGCGATTCTAAAAAAACTGTTCGTTACCCATTAATTATCGTATCCTTAACGAAATTTGTTATTAATAAATCTTGAAGTTCGCAGGTAAGAAATTACACGTGCGTGAAGATTAATGAACGATAAGTTCCCTGATCTTGACATCTGAAATCTAACACATTCAAAACATTGAACAGGTAACAGGACAAACACGCGTGTCTACATCTACAAAGGCCATCCGAGTATTCTGCAGTAGTTGAGCCAGCTTATTTTGAATAATTCTAACATCAACATGTTCAGGCCCAAGGCTTCGAACATAAATCGCCAAAGCACGATCATAGTTTCTTTTCGCCTCCCCATCATGACCCTGTTCATTGTGTGCGTCACCAATATTTACATAAATTTTTCCAACTCCAAGATGATCAGGTCCAAGCTGTTTCAGACTTATGTCCAGTGCACGTGCATAGTAGTCCTGTGCTTGCTGGAAATCACCTAGATTTCTGTATACAGTACCAAGCTTATTGTAAGAAGATGCGACATCTAAATGCTCAGGTCCGAGCTGTTTCAGACGAATGTCCAGTGAACGTGCATAGTAGTCTTGTGCTTGCTGGAAATCACCTAGTTTTCTGTATGCAGTACCCAGCTTATTGTAAGAACTTGCGACATCTACATGCTGAGGTCCGAGCTGTTTCAGACGAATGTCCAGTGCACGTGCATAGTAGTCCTTTGCTTGCTGGAAATCACCTAGATCACTGTATACAGTACCCAGGTTATTGTAGGAAGCTGTGACATCTACATGCTCAGGTCCGAGCTGTTTCAGACGAATGTCCAGTGCACGAACATAGTAGTCCTGTGCTTGCTGGAAATCAACTAGATCACTGTATACAGTACCCAGGTTATTGTAGGAAGCTGCGACATCTACATGCTCAGGTCCGAGCTGTTTCAGACGAATGTCCAGTGAACGTGCATAGTAGTCCTGTGCTTCCTGGAAATCACCTAGTTTTCTGTATGCAGTACCCAGCTTATTGTAAGAACTTGCGACATCTACATGCTGAGGTCCGAGCTGTTTCAGACGAATGTCCAGTGCACGTGCATAGTAGTCCTTTGCTTGCTGGAAATCACCTAGATGTCTGTATACAGTACCCAGCTTATTGTAGGAAGCTGCGACATCTTCATGCTCAGGTCCGAGCTGTTTCAGACGAACGTCCAGTGCACGTGCATGGTAGTCCTTTGCTTGCTGGAAATCACCTAGATCACTGTATACAGTACCCAGGTTATTGTAGGAAGCTGTGACATCTACATGCTCTGGTCCGAGCTGTTTCAGACGAATGTCCAGTGCACGAGCATAGTAGTCCTGTGCTTGCTGGAAATCACCTAGATCACTGTATACAGTACCCAGGTTATTGTAGGAAGCTGCCACATCTACATGCTCAGGTCCGAGCTGTTTCAGACGAATGTCCAGTGAACGTGCATAGTAGTCCTGTGCTTCCTGGAAATCACCTAGTTTTCTGTATGCAGTACCCAGCTTATTGTAAGAACCTGCCACATCTACATGCTCAGGCCCGAGCTGTTTCAGACGAATGTCCAGTGCACGTGCATAGTAGTCCTTTGCTTGCTGGAAATCACCTAGATGTCTGTATACAGTACCCAGGTTATTGTAGGAAGCTGCGACACCTTCATGCTCAGGTCCGAGCTGTTTCAGACGAACGTCCAGTGCACGTGCATGGTAGTCCTTTGCTTGCTGGAAATCACCTAGATCACTGTATAGAGTACCCAGGTTATTGTAGGAAGCTGCGACATCTTCATGCTCAGGTCTGAGCTGTTTCAGACGAATGTCCAGTGAACGTGCATAGTAGTCCTGTGCTTGCTGGAAATCACCTAGTTTTCTGTACGCAGTACCCAGCTTATTGTAAGAACCTGCCACATCTACATGCTCAGGGCCGAGCTGTTTAAGACGAATGTCCAGTGCACGTTGATAGTAGTCCTTCGCTTGCTGGAAATCACCTAGATGTCTGCATACAGTACCCAGCTTATTGTAACAAGCTGCGACATCTACATGCTCAGGTCCGAGCTGTTTCAGACAAATGTCCAGTGCACGTGCATGGTAGTCCTTTGCTTGCTGGAAATCACCTAGATACCTGTATACAGTACCCAGGTTATTGTAAGAAGTTGCGACATCTACATGTTCAGGTCCGAGCTGTTTCACATAAATATCCAGAGAACGCGCATAGTAGTCATGTGCTTGCTGCAAATCACCTAGATGGCTGTATACAGTACCCAGGTTATTGTAAGAAGCTGCGACATCTACATGGTCAGGTCCGAGCTGTTTCAGACAAATGTCCAGTGCACTTGCATGGTAGTCCTTTGCTTGCTGGAAATCACCCAGCTTTATGTATACCTTACCCAGGTTATTGTAAGAAACTGCGACATCTACATGCTTAAATCCGAGCTGTTTCAGATGAATGTCCAGTGCACGTGCATAGTAGTCCTGTGCTTGCTGGAAATCACCTCGTTTTATGTATGCAGTACCCAGCTTATTGTAAGAAGCTGCGACATCTACATGGTCAGGTCCGAGCTGTTTCAGACGAATGTCCAGTGCACGTGCATAATAGTCCTGTGCTTGCTGAAAATCACCTAGATGTCTGTATACAGTACCCAGCTTATTGCAACAAGCTGCGACATCTACATGCTCAGGTCCGAGCTGTTTCAGACAAATGTCCAGTGCACGTGCATAGTAGTCCTGTGCTTGCTGGAAATCACACTGTTTTATGTATACAGTACCCAGGTTATT